GGGGCTGCGCTGGGCTCCACTGTCAGCCTCCTACTCCCTGCTCACATGTGCTGCGTGCCAGACACGTCAGAAATAAAACCTTCCTCTTGGCACTCGTACCTGAACTTGCCCATGGGACCCAGGGCAGTGCTACAGCTGATACACCTACCACCATCTGTGTCAGTCTTCTCCTCACCCATGGCGGACACAGTTCAAAGAAATCAAGTTTATTCAGCCAGAATTCAAACTACACGTCTGTCGCAAATACAGTCATCATACCTTTGAATTTTACTAGAACGTCCATGAGGCCGAGCATCCGGCCTTTCCTGGCCTTTCCACTGCTTGTGTGGCCGGCCTGTGTCCTCTCTGGAAGGTCTCCCTGCACCCCCACCACCCAGCTGCCAGAGCACGCAGCTCCGGGACCGCTGGGGAATTCAGCTCTGCTATTAGCACTAGGCAGGTACTCCATAAACATTTTTTATCTGAAGTTTTAAAATCATTCAATTTGGCCGGGTGTGGTGGCTTATGCCAGGAATCCCAGCACTTTGGGAGGCCAAGGCAGGTGGATCACTTGAGGTCAGGAGTTCAAGACCAGGTTGGCAAACATGGTAAAACGCCGTCTCTACCAGATATACAAAAAATTAGCCAGGCATGGTCGCAGGTGCCTACAGGCTGAAGCAGAAGAATCGTCTGAACCTGGCAGGCAGAGGTCGCAGTGAGCTGAGACCACACCACTGCACTCTAGCCTGCACGACAGAGCGAGACCCCATCTCAAAGAAAATGAAAATAAAAAAATGAATAAAATCATTCAGTTCCTAGAAAGGTATCATTGCAAAGGAAAAACATATTCAAAAGCTAAGCAGGATTTTCCACTTTCCCAAAAAATTTCACACCACCAAGGAAAAAAAGCCGCCTTAGCCTCAGCATTGCACTCACAACAACACCCCAGCTAGCAGCGTACTCTGAGCAACCTGAGAGCAAGGAGAGGCGGCCCCCAACTCCGCAGAGAGGGCTGCATTTCCGCCCCCATGTGTGTGACACTTACAGCCAGTGAGAGGTTTTATCAATAAAATCAAAGGCCACAGCCAAGCTATTCCAGAGCTGTGCCCGCCCCTCCCACATGACCAAACCCGACTCCTCTCAGGGACTTTCCAGAGCTCTCAAAGGGTGCAGCCAGGGACTTTCCACCCTGCGTGCCTGCCGGGCCGCGTGGCGCCCCAGCCCGGGGGCTGGCTATGGTTCCTGGCCCTCAGCCGGACGCCTTCATAATTGCCAGTGTTGCATCCCATGAGCCTGGAGGTGGCAGGGACCCCAGAGGACTTGGGGTCCAGTGCAGGGCTGGGAACTGTGACCCAACCTGTCCCCCAGGTGCCTCTCAGTCCTCTAGGAGGGTAGCATGGCACATAGCACCCCTACTCCCTGCACCCAGCTGGTGCCCTCACACTCCCAGGGAGACCCTGACCCTGGGCAACCAGCCCAGGAAGCCATCCCCCTTGCAGATAGCACTGGGTGATGACCAAGCTGCAGGTCTCTTTAGAAGAGCAGGGCTGGGGCGGACGATGTTATGCACCGCAGCCGCTCGTGCAGCAGACCCGCGCAGGAACCTAGAAAGTCTGGTGTCGCGCTTCGTGGCTGCGGGCGGTCTGGCATCTCTGCCCACAGAGGTTGGAGTCTCACTCTGGGGCAGTGCCCTGGAGCTCCAGCTCCACGTCTAGGACTCAGTCCCTGTGCTAGGGAGGAAAGCACGTCCCCTTGTCCACCTGATGCAGCTGGGTGGTTCTGAAACAATGAAACCTGGAGCCAAAGACCACAAAGCAGAGAATGTCAACCGAGGGAGGTGGGGCCAGGCCTGCGGAGCAGGGAGTGGGAAAGGAGAAACCCACAATAGCGCAGGTCCAACTCCAAACCCAACAGGCCACACCCCAGGGTCCGGCTGGGCAGGACACCCCAGCCCCTGCCTGGGCAGGTAGCTCTCCTAAGTGCAGACAGCCAGGGTTCCAAGCAAACAGCCCTCACAGCCTCACCAACCTGGAGCCGGACTGGATGGCATCAAGGTGCCTCCTCTCTTTGAGATTCCAATGACGACTCAGTACTCACGGAGCAGTGACCCTTGCCCCTCCACTCTACTTCCTGTCTCCATGGATGTGACCACTCCCGGGACGTCATGTAAGTGGAATCACAGAGGATTTGTCCTTTGGTGGCTGGCTCATTACACTCAGTGCAATGCCTTCAGAGTTCATCTCTGGGGAGCACGTGTCTGAATCTTCTTCGTTCCTAAGGCTGAATCACATGCCACCAAGTGCACTGACCACAGTCTCTGTATTTATCCATTCATCCGTGGACACTGGGCTGCCTCTACCTGTGGGCTCTGTGGACAGCGTTACTCCCGGAATCCCGCGCAAGGATCCCAGAGGGAAACTTCTTAAAGGGCACTCATTACGATGAGAAAGAAGACTGCACAGCTTGGTGAGCTGCAGAGGCCTAAATTAGCTCTCTCAGCACCTCCCGTCCTCTGCACTACAGGCTAAGTTTCCAAATGCCGAAAAGGTGACATGAGACTCGCACTGAAGCCCCCAATATGCCCATGCAGGAAGGTGAGCCCACCTCGCCTGGCACACAGGGACAAATGTGTCCATTTCCAAGTGAAGTGCGGGCCGCTGCCTATGTTGCTGGCTGGAAGCCTTTCTGTGACCACAGGACAAATGTGTCCATTATTTCTGCTATCTCCAGTGTCAACACAATTCAAAATAAGAAATCCTTTGTGGACAAAAGAGACACAACAAAAACTCCCACCAAACTCGACAGCTGCAGTCCCGGCGCACGGTGACCTTCCCGCCATTCCCAGGAAATGCTACTGCTTGGATAGCCGCAGCCTTCCCGGGGCTCACACAGGCACCTCCCACTCACAGCCACCCACCCACGCTCGACAGACAAGAAACCTGAGGCATAGGGAGGGCTAGTGCCTCACTGGAGGCCACACAGCCCCAGCTCCACGGTGCAGGTCTGTGCTCTGCACTACGTGTGTTTCTTTCTTTCTTTCTTTCTTTCTTTTTTTTTTTTTTTGAGAGAAAGTCTCGCTCTGTGGCCAGGCTCCAGGCTGGAGTGCAGTGGCGCAATCTCGGCTCACTGCAACCTCTGCCTCCCGCGTTCAAGCAATTCTCCGGCCTCCGCCTCCCGAGTAGCTGGGACTACAGGCACGCGCCACCACGCCCAGCTAATTTTTGTATTTTTTAGTAGAGACAGGGTTTCACCATGTTGCCCAGGATGGTCTCAATCTCATGACCTCACGGTCTGCCTGCCTCCACCTCCCAAAGTGCTGGGATTACAGGCGTCAGCCACTGTGCCCTGCCCACTACATGTGTTTCTAAACGGACATACTCTAAGAAGCAGCTATGTCTTTTCCTCCACAGACATCACACAGGCTTCAGCCCCAGCACGAGGAAAATATAGGCCAAGGTCCTAACTGCTTCGGGGGTGGGGACGACCCCTGACTGCTGGGGCTTCTGTCACCATGCAACACGCAGCCTCTGAAGGGCCGCCCGACTTTACCTCGTACTCCTTCAGGGTCCCCTTCCAGGTGCACCCATCACTGGGACAGACGGCCGGAAGGCTCTCCACCTCCCTTCGGGCAGCATTATCTGGGAAGGCCTAGGGAGAGGAACAGCCCTCAGGTTAAACCTCCTCCCGGCCTCCCCGCTGAAACCCAGGAACACAGGGCCACGCATCCAAACCAAACCAAACCAACTCCGTGTCGTGCCACCTTCCCAGGTCACCCTAGGAGCGAGGATGACTCTCTGAGGACTGACCCACCTTGATGACAAAGTTTCCAAGCCCTAAACTTCCCAAGTCTGCAAAGGGACAACTTCTGGCTGCCTTTTTGTTTTTTTTTTTTTTTGAGAAAGGGTCTCACTTTGTAACCCAGGTTGGAATGTAGTGGCATGATCTTGGCCCACTGCAACCTCCGTCCCCCAGGCTCAAGCGATCCTCCCATCTCAGCCTTCCAAGTGGCTGGGACTATAGGCATGCGCCAGCATGCCCGGCTAAGTTTTTGTATCTCTGGTAGACATGGGGTTTCGCCGTGTTGCCCAGGCTGGTCTCGAACTCCTGAGCTCAGGCAATCCACCTGCCTCGACCTCCCAAAGTGCTGGAATTACAGCCACCATGACCAGCCAACTTCTGGCTTCTAAAGCTTCACTTGGCCACTGGTGTTGTGTTTTGTTTTGCTTTCCAGAGACAGGGTCTTGCCCTGTTGCCCAGGCTGTCGTAGGGTGATGTGATCACAGCCAACTGCAGCCTCTCTCTCCTGGGCTTAAGCAATCCTCCCACCTCAGCCTCCCAGGTAGCTGGGACTAAAGGCATGTGCCAACCACACCCAGCTAAGTTTTTGTTGTTGTTGTTGTTGGGGCTTTTGTTTTGTTTTGTTTGAGATGGAGTCTTGCTCTGCTGTCTAGGCTGGAGTACAGTGGCATGATCTTGACTCACTGCAACCTCCACCTCCCAGGTTCAAGCAATCCTCCTGCCTCAGCCTCCCAAGTAGCTGGGACTACAGGTGCATACCACCACATCCGGCTAATTTTTGTATGTTTAGTAGTGATGGGGTTATACCACGTGGGCCAGGCTGGTCTCAAACTCCTGACCTCAGGTGATCCACCTACCTCGGTTCCCCAAAGTGCTGGGATTACAAGTGTGAGGTACTGTGCCCAGTCCCTGCTAAGTTTTGAATTTTTTTACAGAGACAAGGTCTCACTATGTTGCCCAGGCTGTTCTCAAACTCCTGGACTCAAGCAATCCTCCTGCCTGGGTCTCCCAAAGTGTTGAGGTTACAGTTGTGAGCCACTGTGCCCGGCCCCACCCACGTTGTTAAAGGAAATTCCAAGACGTTTTCTGTTCAGCATTTTTAGCTTTAAGATATTTTACTTACCGAACTGCTTTCTAAAATAGAAATGCCTTCTTCATATATGCCCTCGTGAACACACGCAGCGCAGTTCTGAGGCCCAGAGCTAGTAGGGAAAAAAAGAAAATCCCACTATGAAATGTAATGCAAAACATAAATGAACACCCTTTGCTTCAGTTCAAAAACCTAACTCCACACCATGATTTCTTTAAACCTTCTCATCTTTAATGAACGAGCAGCAATCATATGTTAACTGTACATTTTTTTAACCCCCAGGATTCACAGTACAATGTTTTTAAAGATTTAAAGTAGATGAGAAGATTTGAATCCTGACAGGAGAACCCAGGGCATGACCTCCTGAGGCCCAATCACTCCCTGCATGTGAACAAGGCCTTCCTGAAAAGCCAAGGACGCTTGCTGCAGGAACTCAGGTGCTGCACAGCTGCGCTGACCTGCAGAGACCACGCCTCTCAGACGGCTCAGCTGCAAGAAAGGCGGCTGCCTTAGCTGCCTAGAGCAGCCAAAAAGGGAGCAGGAGGCGGAGCTTTCAACTTTCTGGTACTCACATTAAAAATAACAAAAATGTAAAATTAACTGTAATGATTATTATATTTAACCCCATGTATCCAAAACACTATTTCAAAATGCTATCTTAAAATTATTAATTTTACATTCTTTGTGTTAAACCTCCGAAAGCCAGGCAGTATCGACACCTGGAGCACATCTAAGCCGAACCCAGCCGTGCTGGGAGCTACCAGGCTGGGCAGTGTGGCTCAAAAGCCAGCCCGGCCTGCCGGCCCCTCCTCCCAGCCTGCGGGCCCGCGCACCTGAGGATGCTGGCCAGGCAGAAGGAGCAGTAGCGGTGGCCACACTGCGCCTGGAAGGGCCTTCGCAGGACGTTTCTGCAGGCGGAGCACAGGTACTTGGCTTCCAGTTTGGTCCCCAGGAGGGTCTTGGAGAAGCCAGGCTGTAGCAACTCCAGGGAGCCGGGGGGGGTCACGCTAGCGGCAGCCATGAGAGCTGTGACCCCCACGAACGACAAAGCCCTAAGGAAGAACACACAGCATGCTACACCTCAATTCCAGAACAGTCCTCCTGAGAGAACACCAAACTGATCAGTAGCAGGCAAGGGTGCGGGGTCAGTTCCCCGCTGACCTGCGGACAAGACTGAGAGGCAGAGCCGCACAGCTTCGGGGAGGTTTGGAGACCCTCGAGTCCCATCTCCCGCCGCTAGTATGGAAACTAGGGCTCAGTGAGGGTGAGGACCACACAGCTGGCGTCCACACACCCAACCCACAGCTCAAAGAGGCACGGACACACGGGCTTCCTGCCACTCACCCCTCATTCCCAGCTAGGGGCACAGGCTGCCCTCCTGTTAACACTAATGTCAGAGGTTCTCAGGACTAGGCTCTCAGTCCCCCCATGCAATAAGCATGTTCTAGAGTGGTGGACGCCTTCTAAAGTATATCTCAGCAAACCCACTGGGCAGCAGACGCCCACCTGCCGGCACTCAGGCCCTGGAGACACTTGGGAGAGAGCCATGCCACCAGTGCAGCCCTGGGGCAGGAGTGCAGCCGCCTGGGGCTGGCCAGTGCAAGCTCCCTCTCACTACCACGTTTCCATACTGCAGACGACGCACATGGCCTTCAGAGTCCTCCATGTGCCAGCCCTGCCCTGGCGCCTGCTGTCCACTGGAACTCAGTAAGCCCCACCAAGGCGGCCACAGACGGCCTCAGCACCTTGCACCGTGCCCTCTCCTCTGCCTCTCTAGGCACCAAGGCCACTCTGTGCCGTGCTCACTCTCCCTGCCTCTCTGAGCACCGTCCAGCCACCCCTGCACCCCACCCTTCCTCCTGGATTAACTGGGGTTCTTCCTCCCTCAGCCTCCCGGGCGGAGACTCCACGGGGCTCCACTCCCCTTAGAGAGCACCCTCAGGTGGGCCTCTTTAACCTGCCATCACAGAGCTCCTGCTGCGTGGGGAGGGGCCTGCTCAGGGCTGGGCTGATGCTGAGGACAGAGGAAGGGAACAATGAAGATATCTAGATCCACTCACCGGGCAGAGTGGGCAGACAGGGAGGGCAAGCAGTCACCCAGCACACCAAGGGTTTCCTGGAGGCCTCACTCTGTCTCTCGGCTCCCGGCACCAACACCACCCAGGAGGCTTCTCGGGAAAGCCAGAGTCCTTTAGAAGGGCAGGCGGGTGAGCAAGGACAACCGACTACAAATCTCCAAATCACACTTTCTCCTGTCAGCATTTTCATGAGAAAAAGGGGAGACAGGCGCTCAGTGCCCCCAGCCCTGTAAGCAGTTTGGGTAAAGCCTGAGTCCAAAGCCCTCAAAGCCTCTGGCTGAAGTGAAGTTAGTGCACACATGCTGGCCCCACGAAGCACAGAGAACTTCCACGGCCCAGACACCCGTGAGATGAGACTCGAAACACTGGACGGCAACCCTGGAGGCTCCCCAGGTAGCAACAGGGGCTGAGGACGAGAGACGCAGACACATGTGTGTCCACAGCCTCATACGGGGAACCAGGCCACGGCAAACCATGAAGGCTCCCCAGGTAGCAACAGAGTTTGCAGATGAGGGCAGACCAGGCATGTCCATAGCCTCGAACCCGGAACCAGGCCACAGCAACCATGCAGACTCCCCAGGTAGCAACGGGGGGGCTGTGGATGAGAGGCAGACACATGTGTGTCCACTGTCTCACACAGGGAAGCAGGCTGGGTGTGAGGACCTGGAACCCACTGCTCCCTGGCAGCAGCCTCCAGCGCCTTCCTGTGTTTCCCGTGGAACATGCCTCACCTGGTGCTCACCTGCTACGCTCCTTACAACAGCAGCCTGTAGGCCAAGCCAGCTCTAAGTGTGCTCTGCCCCCAATCCCAGCCCCTGAGAGCCCAGCAAAAGAAGGTGGGACTGGGGGCATCTCTCTAGCAGGAAAGCAGTCTTATTTCAGGGAACTGGGGACAGCCAGGGAGGGGCTTCCAGTGCCGCCCACACGGCAGGGGCTCACTCCTAGAAGGGAGACTCCAGGCAGGGCAACTTGGGAATGGGGAGGAGGAAGAACAGGGCATGGTGTGCGCTGCGATTCCCAGGAGGCAGTCCAGGGAGGCAGGGACTGACAGGCAGGCCTGGCCTGAGGGTGGAGGGCGGCCTCCAGAGTCCTCTCCCCAGAGGGCAACTCTCGGGGTGGCATTTTATTTACCTAAGGAACGACTTCCCAGAATCATTCCAACTTTTTTTTCCTGAGACAGTCTCACGCTCTGTCGCCCAGGCTGCAGTGCAGTGGCACAATCTCGGCTCACTCACGCTCTGTC